CGACCGAACGATGCAGACATGATGGCACTGATTATTTAATAATTTGAGTTTAACTGTTCAAAAGGTGGCAACTCTTTTCAAAAAACTAAACCCAGTTTGCACATCTACAGACCAAGCGCTTTAATTTGACATCTCATTTTTGAAAATCGGGCGTATTATATATCTGTGGTCATAAGCAATAACCGCCTAAGTCGACTTGAGAAAGAATTGAGCTATATATGCTATCGTACTCTGCAACTTCTATTCCATGTGTAAGTGAAATTCCCATCTCGCCAGCTAGGCTATTTAAAAAGTTATAGACGAACATATTTTGGTAACGCTTTTTCTCGATTACAGGTTTTTCGACTTAGGCGGCTATTGCTTATGACCACAGATATATAGATTTTACTAACACACACACTGGCTCTTTTTAGCAGATTTTCCAATATACCACGTATTGTTTCTGGTTGCAGGCTCCGTATTTCGTTTCGAATATTCTGCTTCCGCTGTCTAATAGTCTCTGCTTTATTAGCATACACTTTGTCTTTTAACTATCCCCCTAAAAAAGTTGGGCGCACTTAAATCCGTTGAAGGAGGTGGTCATGGGAAATCTGAATTTTTAGAATTCAAACTTTCGCCGAAACTTTCACGTTGTTGGTGGCCTTGCGGTAGTAATGCTTGCAAAAATTTGAATTTCGTATGGTTGCAATACATTTTCTATAGAAAGCCTTCAAACTTTATTGTGCAGAAGTAGTTCACAATAGTGGCTCACTATTTCTTCAAAGAATTCTTTAATCTTAATCAACAAAGTGATAACTTCAACTATTTATTTTTTTTTTTGATGAATTATGCAGTGAAACGTTAGAATTTCGTGGTTTATTTGAAAAATCTATCTTACCACCCTATATGTATTCCTTCCATTCTTCTGGCTCCATCAGTTGCAATGGAAACGATTTTCTTTAACTCGATTCCATCGCCTTCTAGACATTTCTGCACAAGATTTTCGATATCTTCAACTTTAGTTCAGCGTCCGTATTTATTTGCGTGTATTTTGTAGCGCTTGTATAAAGCTTCCGCAGTCTCATTCACTCACATGGTACTCATTCGTGGATCAATAACACGATGGAACTGGAGAGCCGCCACTTTACACCGAAAGAGCCGCATGCGACTCGCGAACCGTAGGTTGCCGACCTCTGACGTAGACCAGTGCTTGAATCGGAAAAGTCACTTTTTTTATTGACCATTGTTATGATAAAGTGTTTTGTCAAAGTTTACGATATTCTTAAAAAGGTATAAGCTTTTTTACTGTATGTATGTATACGGAAGTAGTTATCGCCACACTTTATCAATAAAAAAATTACAAAAAAAGTGGTAAACACAGACTTGTGCGACACTGTAAATGGCCAACTTTCCTCTTAAAAACAGCTGTCAAGAATTGTATGAATGGCACTTTCACCAGTCGTGAAAACACCCTCAAAAACTATTTCGTAAATTTCTGTGTTGCGTTTTGGTCTTATAATTCACACAATTTACATTTTTCACTTTTTCGTGGCATTTTGAATGGTTTGCTTCTATATTTATGAATTTTTCCATTCTATACGAGGCTGCAAAAAGGTGTATTCCCAAAAATAACCTCAAAAACTGTCGAGGTTTTCCAGTTCGCGCATAAGGGAATTCCCTAAATATAATCAGCCCTCTTGCCAATTTCATGTCATTCCCATAATTTAACATGGAAAAAAATGTTTTTGTTTTTCTTCATAATTTTTGGGAATATTTGTTCACGTGAAATTCGCATACTGCATACATTTAGCTCCAGCAACAGAGAGTTGACAGTGTAAATGAAAAAGTCGGATTACAAAAACATATACCTCCTATACCACTGACTGTTTAGATAAAAGCTTTTGCGATTTAACTCCTTTATGTATGTACGATGAAATTGTGTGACCTATTTACTGATCGAGCATGAAAGAGCTACTGTAAAATAAATTTCTCCCACGCCACAGATTGTTTAGATCTGAGTTTTTATTTTATACGGATGTATGAATGTAACTTCCCCATCTATTAAAAAAAATAGGGGTATTCACGATCCGGTGCATACTGTCTAGCATAGTACATAGATAGCATATTGGCTAATTTTTTTGTTGTTTGGACACATAAACTAACAACAATCATGCTATTTATGCTATCTATGCGCCATGCTAGACAGTATGCACCGGATCGTGAATATCCCTAATTTTTTCCCCTTAACATAAATAAAAAGTGCACAGTGAACCTGTGGCATAGCATAGTTTTGGTCGCTCGATTATTTAATCGCGATTCTGATTGATTTTATACCACTAAAAACTTTTCGTTAGCAAATTGTTCGCTTTTTAGAAACTGACTTCTTTGCCGTTTTCATTGTATCAAGCAAATATAATAAAATAATAACAATGCATTTCTGCTAATACGTTTTATGAAAAACTTTTTGAAATGCTAGTTAAATTTAATTTTAAGCTGTATGCGGCGATTTTTGCAAACTAACAAAGGTGCCGCTGTAATTAACTTTAATGACTAGCCTTTTTTAATCCCTATACATTTGCGAAAAAAATATAACTCACGAAAAAACATGCCAGATTGCTTCGTGCTCAAATACATTTCTCTACAAATAAAGTATAATTATTCAAATGAATATTTTATATGCATTTGCATACATATCATTGAAATTGACTTTGATGAAATATTTGATTAAGAGCAACAACCGTATGTATTTACATACATACATGCATGCATATGTACGTATACATATATATGTAAATACTGCCAATGTTTTGACTTTACGAAAAATAACAAAAAAAAAACAGAGAAAAGCTAAGCAAATGCAAGTGTAAAAACACCACAAGATCTGCATATTTTATATTTTTTTTAAAGTAGGGAAAAATGATGGATTGAAATAAGAAAAACTTAATGAAATAAAAGTTTTAAAAATTATGTTGCAGGTGTAATTTATTATTGCTTTAGCGTACAAGCCTCATTATGTGCGACAGGAATATTCCTAATGACAGTAATTAATATTAACATTAATTAATATAAGTAATAATCCCTTAATGGGCAGCACATGATGCTACTTTTCACTTCGAAATTTAGAAAAAACTTGTTCGTTCTACAGAAAAAAAAAATTTTTTAATTTAATAAGAACAAAAAAACAATGAAATACTGTTAATAAAAATATTATTACTTTTATTAGCATTGAAATAGGACCTCATCTACATATAAATATGTACGTATACAGTACGCTTAACGGCTTAGCTTAAAACGCCTCATCGGATGAAGTCGTTTACAATTGTACAAATATGTTTATCGTCAACTGAAATGCAAAAAGGCGTAACAAACATCGTCGGTGAGATTCAAAAAGTCGTAGCTAATAAAAAATTCAAAATTCAGTTTTTGATTGATATGATGGATTTCATCGAATTACAACTTCCACATCATTTATGAAAAAAAAAATAAAAAAAATTTAGTCAAGACTTTTTCCACTTCAGTTACGATGTTGTTACGTCTTTTTGCATTTTCTCGTCAGAAAAAACGCTAAAGCAATTAAAAATAAATCAAGTATTTGGACAATTTTAGCCTTAATTCGTTTATTTAGACGAAAAAGTGTCGCAGTTACTCATTTTTCCATTGTCACTCAAAAAAATCTAAATTTTTCTTTTTATAACTTTTGGAAGTTTTCAAATAGAATAATCATATTAGAGGCAATGGACGTTGGCATCACACACAACCTATCTGTGAAGTTTCAAGAGTGTGCCTCCAAACTAAAAAAACACGGCAGCGTTTAGAATATCTGTCGCTGCTATTTTGTAATTTTTGAAATTTTACGATTTTTTTTTTAATTTCAGATACATACATATGTTTGTATGTATTTCAAAATGTTGAAGTTAAACGATGAAAATTTTCTTCATGCCAAATTCATTCTAAAATTGTTATATACATGAAGAAAATAATATATATGTACCTAAGGAATATTGTGTGAAAATTTTCCACGCCAATATTTAATTACTTTCAAATAATATGACTTTTAATTTTAGTCGTGTGGGTTAACTTGTTAAATGAATGAATGAAAATATCATTCGAGAACTCAATGAATTACTGGTTCGAAGAGAAAATGATCTTACTCGAGAGAAGTTGTTTTATCAAAAGTCCACAGATATGTAGTTTAAGAGTTTGTTTTCTTCTCATCAATATATTTTTTGATAACGTTTTAAAGGGAGGACGTTGAGGTTCAGTGTGACTCCATTTAGCGTGGAGAATCTGGATTTTGGAAAGTTTGTTTTAATTTTTAAGGCGTTCTGAATTAGTTCACTTAGAACTTAAGGATGTTTTCCTACTGTAATCGTCCAGTTCGTCTGTGAAAGTTATGTTTTCACATGCTGAGCACTGCAATCGCCTTACCGGACTATTTATTGTTCCTTACTAAGGAGTGGTTAGGAGTGCAGCACGCCTCATATAGCGTGTCTGGTAACAGATGCTCCTCCATATCCGCCCATATAATGCATGCCCCTAGCAAAATTGAAATAAATCTCACCAAAGATTTGCCTTTGGAATGGCATGTTGGCACTCCAATATCTTAGTGGACTCTATCTTTTGACGGATGTACAGTATGACGTGAGGCCAATAGGTCAAAAGTAACTGAGTGTCACGTTCAGGGAAGGCAGTGACGATATTTTTTCGGGTTGGGTAATTAAAAAACTAAAATTTTTTTGGTTGTTTAAGTCTCTATGTGTATTACTATTTGGAAATTATATTTACTGTTATGTTTTAAACATTTCCCATATAAACATATACTAACTAAATAAATAAAACTAACTGATTCTCTCTCTCTGCTTTACTGCGAAGTGATGGAAAATGTCTTTCTATTTATATAATACCAAATGAGACACACATTTATATACATATGTACTTTCTCCTATTTTTGTCACCAAAAAAAAATGTTGATGTTTTCGACATTACTTTAATCTGTGCGTCATATTTTTTGTAATTTTTAGATGAATTCACGTGACGAACCGGAAAAAACATTCAAAGTTGCCATGCCTGATAATGCCTATGCTACAGTTTATCTACGTGATGCCATGTCGGTGGAGGAATTTCTGGCTAGCGCCTGTGCACGTCGCAATCTCAATCCAATGGAACATTTCGTACGTGTGAAGAAGCGACGTGACATGGAGGATCATAACTACTTTGTGCCACACCGAAATGATTTGATTGAAAATTACGTAAGTAAAAGAAACCAATTAAAACAACATAAATACATATTTAGGGAGCACCATATATCGTATCAAAACGCCATGAATGCACTCGAACATTTTTTTAAATAATAATGAAAAACTAGCCAATGCCAAGTGGAGCAGAGATGGAAAATTAAGTTTTTGAAATTGTACCTCATTTGCGGCAGAAATTGTGCTTTAAAGTAGATAAACCATATTGTAATACACTTATTTTATCAATGTAATTTAGTTAAGTTTTCAGACATGTGGCAACCGTCCTCAAACATATTTTCGACTGTAAACCTTCTTAAAACTCTTAGTTTGACACCCACATGGCAATATTTCATTTATTGTATCAATTTGACTGAGTTAAAGTTTTCGAATCCTAAGAACAGCCAACAGTTATCTTTCTTAAACCTCTTTAATTTGATACCCTTATTGTAATAATTCATTTATTTTATCAATATAATTGGGTTAAAAAATTTTCAAATAGGTGGCAACCCTCCAAATTTTTGTGATATCATTGATCCTGGTATTATACCGAACAATACAAAAAACATTATTCAAATCGGTTCAGCCGTTCTCGAGTTTTGACGACCGTGACAAACGAACACAAAATTTTTGTATATATAAATTTCTAAATCAAGATACGTAAATGCTTTTAGTTTGGTACCGATACCGTAACATTTAATTTATATTACCAATTTAATTGAGTTAAATTTTCAAACAGGTGGCGACCCTCCTCAAAACATATTTTCGACCGTAGGTCTTTTAACAACACTTTAGGTTGATACAAACATTGCAATATTTCATTTGTTTAATCAATTTAACTGAGTTAAAATTTTCAAATAGGTTGGAACCCTCCACAAGAGTATTTCCAAACGTTTTCTTTCAGCCCCTTTACTTTGATACGACAATTTTTCCTCTTAAAATTAGGAAAATTATGTCGAGCACAAATAAAACTAGGTACTCAAAAACGCGAATATATGGTAGATTTCAGACCTTGTGTGGTAGATGTGCTAGATGCTCAAAAAAGTGGCAGATCTACCACAATGTGGTAGAAGTCCGATCAATGGTAAGCACCTTTCTTAAGACAACAACATCCACCCTTTCTTGCATACTTTTTGGAACTGCCACAAAAAAACCCAGCTCTTTGCGGCAACACAAGCTTCATAGTTAGTAAACACCATGCAAATATTACTTTGTTGATATGTTCGCAAAATTTAGTTGCACCGATATCAGCGACCAGAAGGAAACCAACAACTTTATTTCGCAAAACAAAACATAAACCATTGACCAGAATTACTACGGAAACCCAACGACCTACCGACGTTACTCGTATCGTCAACATTATCAAGTAACTACTTTTAATGGCAAACAATGAAGCAAATAACTAAAAACCAAAAGCAATACAACTAAAAGAACAATGAGCGGAAATAACGCATAGAATTGAGAGCTACAGCAAGGATCCCATGCACATGCATACACACACATACATATATTTGTATAAAAATGTGTGTATTTAATGCAACTTTTGCGGTCAACTTTTCCTTTACTTGAATGAAAACTTGTCTATTTTGATGGGCGAACGATTGAGCATGACCACATATAAATTAGGGAGGTCCAAAAATGCATGCGTGGAAAGAAAATATAGTCCGAATTTAAATGCACTCGGGGTGATTGCATTGTTCTATATCAAAAAAAAGTATACCTACTGCTTCTCTTCAGGAGATTTCCAATAATAATACACAATTGTTTATTTTACCCTTTTTTAAAACGAACAATTTTATATGGGGCCCCCATTGCATTTTTTGGCATTTTTGGAGACCTATGAAAAATAGTTATATTAAAAAACTGTTAAATAAACGAATGGGTATTATTAATGGAAGGCTGCTGAACAGATTTGGTTTTCAAGAATTCTATACCATTTCTACGAAAAACTGTTTTTCCCCATACAAAATACATTGAACGCTTTGAGCGCGTTGAGCGACCTCTAAATGTTTTTTGATTTCAAAATAAAACACTGCTGTATATTTTTTGGGTGGTTGAGAGCTTTAAAATTCCGACTTTTCTTCTTTTTTTTTTACCACCCTAATGTACATACATACATATATATAGGTATGTTCATGCAAGTGCTACAATTTAAGTGAACAACCATTGTTGATGCTACTAATATTGTCACCAATACGTCCACTCTCGCTCTATGAAACTACGCCTCCCCTCAAATCAGGTTCAATGTGTTGAAATAATTGAGCAGCAGCCCTGGCAGCTAGACCATTGAGTACAATAACATCTTCGCCGCCTACGTCGCTGTCCTCCTAGTCGCCGCAATAGTTGTCACCACTAGTTGACAGTAGCCAATGTGAAATGACACATATGAATGAGCATCAGCAAACAGTTTTTTAAGTACATACATACATACATGGCATACACATGAACATTCAAGTTACTTGAAAGCGCTGGAAACTCCTTCCAACCTTTTGAAGTGTTCATTCACCCTTTCAACTTGCTTACTAACGAGTGGTTCATGGTTGATATCTACCAGCTGCCAGCTGCCCTCCAAGCAAAAGTTTGCAATTAACAATTTCATTAAAGCCTTCATGTGAATATGGCATGCCACAATGTCGTCGCCATCGTCGCAAGCACTGTCGAAAGTCATTGACATTCGAGTGGCATATGAAAGGCGTGTTGAAAGAAATATGGCAAGGAGAATAGCAGCAAAAAATAAAAAATACTTAATACCTAAAGGAAAACGTTACAAAAAAAATAGAAAAATTGGAAATACCTACAAGAAACACACACCTCATTTTTAAATACACTGATTTAGTGAGTGAACGAACACACGCGAACTACAATTTGCATATTTCAGCGAATGTCTGCTTAGCATAGTTTTGAAGTTTGTATAGAAGGGGTCATGCCTGATACGCGTAATTACATCAATTCGAATGAGTGGTACACCCACCCACATACATACATACATGTGTGCACTTGCACTTACGTTCATATACTATACACATATACATATACATACATATATCGGTGATATATAAAAATGCATCAGCGCATGCATCCGGCCAATGTCACAAACCACGGCTGAAAGTTTTAGAGTGTTATGGGAGCTGCGACAAAGTTTCTGTAAGGATGAAAGGAACTTCTGGTGAGAAACTTTTTAATTGCACAGGTGAAGTTTTTTAGCGTGAGATACACAAATGCATATGTGTATGTATGTATGGATAAGTATTACTGAAAACTGAATGGCGTGCGGTTAAAGCTTTTATTTTCTCGCAAATTTAAAATTTAATATGTCTCAATCAATATTTTTACTATACCAAGACATGAAGGTAGCTAGTGGCTAGACGAATTACAAGAAAAACAACCATAAGGCTTTTCTATGAACCGACTGGCCATAAATAGCTGGCGCATTGTTTTGTGGCGCCGAGTTTATCCACTTATAATTTCTTCTGCAAAACGAATCGATATCTTTGACGCAGCTTAGCGGGTATTAAATTCAAGTATTTGTTTGTATTTATTTATGCCAGCCAAAAATGGGGCACTTACAGTTTCAGGCTGCTTCGGTACAGTGTGGAATGGGACTTGCCTTTCGGCTCACCCGCACTAAAAGCCCACCCCTGCTCCGTTTCCCTCCCACCATGGACCTACTGTAAGGTATTACTTCGCGGAGGGGGAGCGGCCTATTGCCAATCTATGAAATTCTACGGGGTTGTTCTGCTCGACGCAATTTAGATAAAATTGTTCTTACCGTGCGCTATCAATATTTGGGTCAAATGGAGTTCAACTTCCCCATGTTCCCTACTTGCCCACCTTGATATCGAGGGTATGAGGCGGTGCGTCCAACGACCGCTGGATGCGCAGTCCCACCTCGTCTTCCATAGCTGCAAACACCTCTGTGTGGCAGCTCTTCGCGTTTCGTTTAGTTTATAGGCCTGGTTCCTGTCACTTTCACTAAAATGTCAATGGGGCAGAGTCCTCCCACCACTAGTGCTGCTTCTTCGGACATAGTTCGGAATGCACTTTGCATACTTCGATAGCGCAAAATCTATGCAAAGACTTTGCTTCTCGTACATATGATGTCTTGCTGGACGCTTCATACCAGATTTGTGCACCGTGTGCTCCCTGCGCACGAAGCTTGCGTATAGTTGTCTGCGCTGTTGTTTCGGGCCTCCTACGTTCATCATAACACTTGTTAGTCCCGCTGCCACCTTTTCGGCTTTCTTGACAGCATAATCAATGTGCGTCTTGAAGATAAGCTTCGTATCAAACATTATACCTAGGTATTATAAGGCCGCCTTTGAAGTAATTTCTTGTTGATCAACGTTTATACTCGCCACTTCTCTGACCTTTCTTCTGCTTATTAGAACAGTTTCGGTTTTTCGGTGCGCAAGTTCGAATCTTGTTTCGACCAGCCATGCTTGGATCTGAACGATTGAACTATTTTCTGCAGTAATTATTTCTTCTAGATTCTTTGCTACCACCACTAGCGCTATGTCGTCAGCAAATCCAACAATTTTCACTCGTTCTGGCAAGAATAGTCGGAGTAGACCATCGTACATGATATTCCAAAGTATTGGACCCAGAACCGAACTCTGTGGCACTCCAGATGAGATAAAGTCTTTGACACCGTTATCCGTATTGCACAGTAGCACTCTATCTATTTGCTAAATAGTTGTCTACGATTTTGCGAAGGTATTCGGGTACCTCAAATCTGCGTAGAGCGGCATTTATGAGTTTCCAACTTGCGGTGTTGAACGCATATTTTACTTCCAGGGTGGCAAGCAAGCAGTACTCCTTTGCTGCTCCCTTCCACTTTTCGCCACTGATTGCATCTTCCGCCAACTGCTTTACTAAACTGGCTGCATCTACTGTTGATCGCCCCTTTCTGAAGCCGAACTGTGTCTCTGAGAGGCCCTCCCTTTTCCTCGATTGCTTCCAACAATCTATCGCTGATTATGCATTCGAACAACTTTCCCGTCGTATCCAACATGCATATA